ATGCAGTAGTGGTCAGAAGGTAGTCACCAGTGGCAAGAACATATTGTCCACGAGACACTATGTGAGGGCAGTACCTGCATGGGTCTGTGCTACCACATCCATTTCACAGATGTAGAAGCTAAAGTAATTCTATGGAAAGCCACATACTGAGTTCATTTTGGCCAAAATGCCTAATAAATTACTGGAGCAATATTCAAATCTGAATTTTTCAAGTTAAGTTCTATTAGAATCCTAATGGAACTTTTAAAAGACCAATCCAATGTCATTCAGTGAACCGTACAAATGATAATAATTAAAAGTATCTATGTGGATACATACAAGGAAACATTTGAGGTCTTCTTACACTTTTTTCTTTTTTGGGTAGTAACAGAGATAGAACCCAGGGCTTTGAGCAAGCTAGGAAAGTGCCACACCACTGAGCTATATTCCAGTCCTTTGTACACATATATAATTTAATTTAAGTCTTCTTGTTGAAAACAAACAAGCCACCCTAAAATAGGTCATTCAAAACACTCCTTTGCAGTCAAATGAAAATTAAATTTAAAGAGACCTCTCAGATTCAATGGTGATATGTCTCTAATATGGTGTTAAATCTTACCCTTGAAGCACTACATCCAACTTCCATAAAAATTTGATGAACCCAAACAAGCCTATAAGGTGGATGTGGGGCCTGTCTCTTGTATTGGCCTTTTAAAAGAAATCTCCTATAAGTGTGCAATTGTGAGGCTATGTAAAAATTACTTTTTTTTTTTTGCAGGTTGCTTATCAAAAACAAAGTTTTAGGAAACATGAAAAAGTACATAATATGCACTCTGGCGCCACAACTAAACCCAGAAGGCAACATGTTTTAAGCAAGTTCTAAGTCACCGTCCTATATTAGCTCATGCTAATTTCTCTCATTAGAAGTAATTGTCATAATAAAATTATGATAGTTGTGATTGCTGATATTTATTAAGCAGTTACAAGGTGCCAAGTACAATGCCAAATGCTTCATACATGTTGTATAATTTAATATTGGCAACCCCAAAGAGGTTGGCACTATTATACTGTCATTTTACAGATATTGAAGATGGAGCACAGTGAACCATCTCCCTAGTTTTGGTGTTCTAGATTTGAAGGATTTCTGTTTGTAAGAGGACTTCATGTCTCACTGTGGCTTAGAATGAAGTACAAGCTCTAAAGGTTGACACAGTCTTTAAGGATTTGGTGCCTGCCTGCTTATCCATCTCTTTGAACTTATCACCTTATTTCCACCCACCATGCACCCTTCATGCCAGTTCTAGAGAACCGTTTAATACAGACATGTCCCTGCTATCATCACAAATGCCCTTTTCTCCTCATCTGTACAAACAAGACCTACTCATTCTTTAAAACTCAGGCTATCCCTGAAAAGTCTATGCTAATATAGTTAGCATCAGTTGTCACCTCTCTCCCCCTGTTCCTCTTATGGACCGTATCACTGTAATACACCCTTTGAATCTTTGGTTTTCCCCATTAGACTTTAAGCTGCATGATATTAAATATGCTATTTGGTTAAATAGACTACTTGGTATCTCCAGTGCCTAGGACAGGGCCAAGCATATAATGGGCATAAATAAATATTTTTCAAAAAATAACCAAATTTTAAGTAATCACTCTGTTCTTAAATCTTCTCAATTTTCCTAGCCAGAAAGAGTTTGCTCAATAGCCATTCTCTGTAACTTCATAATATTCAAGATGATTAGATTTCTAGAGAAAAAGCAAGAGAATCTAGGTCCTTGTGCCATGACTCTCATTTAGTAATTGAATGCCATTGAACATTGATTCACTCAACATTTTTGTGGGTATACTTGCCATGTGCCTGGAGCTGTACCCCACAGTGGAGAAACAGCAGTGGACACAATAAACCAACCCTTGCCATCACGGAACTTGTAGAACATACTGTCAAATTTCTCCTCATCAAGTCAAAGAGCTGGCCTCGGGTCCTCCTAGATCTAAAATTACATAGAACAATAATCCAACCCTCAAATTTTCTAAAATTATAATATCAAAATACATTAAAAATGAAGTAAAAGACAACAGCAGGCCAATCACTTTATAGCCAGCTTCTGATATATAGCAAAAGTTCACAAATACAATTTTTTCCTTCCAATAATAGATACTTTAAGACATGACCCTGAACATCTTTTAAAGATTAACACTGATTTCATCTGCTATAAAATACTGAAACACTCTGTACCTGTAATTAGAGGGCCCGCCAAGAACAAAAGAACAAAATCATTTCAGGGCAGTTAACAATGATTAGAAAGGAATTTTACCTCCAGGAAGATGAATCGATTCTATATGTTAGCCACAAAGACAGAGAACAATGTATTCTCTAAGTGGATTTTATTTGTGTGATGAATATTTTGATTCATAGTAATTGGACCAAAAAAGATGAAATTCATCACCAGTGAAGAAATTACATAGTAAGAACTAAATCTACCTAGGCTTTCAACCACTTCATTATAAAACTAGACAGGGAAGGTCATAATTATTTAATTTGTATACAAATCTCGGTTGGAAAATGTTTTCAGTGAACAAATGATGTGAGTAATTTTTATAGGAAGGCACAGTCCTTGTCCAAGTCAATAAACACAATATTTACAGACATAAGAAGCACACTGCTTTCTTAATCATATCCTGAGAGTTATTTGGACCAGGAAATCTAACTCTCTAAAGATCAATGTTCAATTATTCTTATGGTAACTGAATAGAATGTGTCAGTTCCTGACATGCTATAGTCTTAGGATATACTCATGGATGTACCCTCCGATGGATATTGGATGGCTGCAGTGGATGGCTTATGTAGATACTGAACTATAATAAGTTTATGCATATATTCTTATTATTTATATACACATGTACACATACACATATATGAAGCAAATAATATCAAGTTTGTTTTTGTCTGTCAGAGTCATACTTATGGAACCTAAGAACAGACTTTCTAGTTATGTGGTGAACTTTCTCTTGTTGTACGTGAGGAAACTGAGGCACAGACTGGTGAACAAAATGACTGAAATCTAAGAGTTGGTTAGTGATAGAGCCATGATGACAGGAGAGGTCCATTGCTCCCAGCCTAATGCTCTTCCCCTCATCTCATCATGCCAATGCTATCTGGAGTTGCAGCTTACAACTTCTTATTCATCACACTAAACCATAACACCAGGCCCAAGGAAGTGGGTAACACAGGCGCAGTTTAGGTTATTGGTCCATTTTTTTCTTGAAAAATAAATACCTCTGCATGTTTGTGGGAAGAAAAACAGCTATACTGTACATCTGTGGCAGGATGGACATGTTGGAAATGAAACTAAAAGCTTTCCTCATGTAACTAAATTTGAGAGCGTGAATAAGCTAAATTTCCCCATCTGGAGACTCTCAGACTAGACAAGCCTTACAAATTAATATGAATGTATAGGTCTGGGGCCTGAAGGAAATTAGGTCACATCTAAAAAGGAATCAGGTGCTGACCACAAGTCAGAATGTTAATATGGACTCCAAACAGAGGGCAGAGAGCTAATGCTGTAGTTCACTGAATACCATTAGGACAAGGCTACAGTACATGATGAAGGTAAATGCTTTAATCAAATTACAGTGCAGGACTTGATACTCTTTTTAACCAACTCTCTCCTCTCATTGGGTCCCATTTGATTTAGGAAGTTTTTTTTTCTTCACTCAGCTGCTTTATGTACCCCTTTCCTTGGTTTCTGAGAATTGAGATCCACAGCAAGGCATAGAAAACACGCTTTGACAAGGAAAATTAAAAAAAAAAAAACATTCTGAGGATAAAATGATCAGAACATATCAGTTGCTTTGTGCAATTTAGAAATAAAGTTGGAATGTGTAGGAACATTTTGTTTAAGAAGCTGAGCAGGAGATTCACTTTCTTGAAGCTGCTTCCTTGAAAGCTCTAGCTCATTCGGCAGTGATGCCCTTTGAAGGCTTTGTGTATGTCCTATGGTGAGAGAGTGGCATTTAGGAGTCAACACAGGGGATGTTCCAAATGCATCCTGCCAAGTAAGTGCTGGCAGGAAAAGTTAGGACACTTTTCTTTCTTGGGAGTCCCCTGGGACTTCATCCCTTTGAAAAGGTCTGAGTTTCTTTCAAAAGTTCAAGATTGATTTTTGGTGGAGATGATGAGGGGCAGGATCTTCCAGTCAAGTAGGAAACAGATTCTTTTGATTAAATGTCAGATTAAGAAAAACAATTCCTACATAGGGACAGTTCTTTAAAGGGTATGACTGTGAGAAGAATGTAGATATTTTAGGATAGAAGGTTATGGTCTTGTGAATTTTTATTTTCTATAAATTTCCTGTGGTTACCATGAATTTAAAAATGTGTCCATGTGCTTAGTGTTTCAGATTCATTTATGCAGAATTATGTAACGCTTGGAGAATCCTCCATAAAATTTCAAGTATTATGGGAATACAGAATTTTTATAAATGACATTTGTAAATATCTAATCCTCTCTATAAGCACAGATTCTCAAAGAGTGCTAAATGGGATAGAGTATACCATTTATAAGAGTTCTCTCTTTTTAAAGGGAGTATCTCTCCATTAATTTAAGGGTTATCTTTCTATTGACACAGAACCTCATATATAAGTGATTATTATGATTTAAAGAATTGCAGAGATCAGCCATAGACCAGTTGCCCAGTGATTTACTGTTCCTAACTCTACACTGGAACACGTCAAGATAAAATCACACATTATTTATTTGAACACATTTATAGCTGTTCTGATCTTTTAAAGTTACTTTAACTATAAAGTTTAACCAGTTAACTTTTGGAAAAAAACCCCACAAGTTTGTTCCAGAAAATATTTTTTGAAAGGAATCACTTGTATTATGAATAATAGAGTGACACAGAGAGAAACAATTGGCAGTAAGAAAAAAAATATATCTTTCACCTCCTCCTAAATTCTAGAGAACCTTCATTTTCAACTTAAAAATGGAAAATGTGACAAATGTAAGCCCTTACCAACTTCCCACTTCAGAAGGCTGTTGTCTTCCCTCTCCATTTTTCCAATGACATACCAGATACACGCCATCCAGTGGGCAAGGAGAGCAAACATGGACATGAGCAGAGTCAGGACGATTGTGCTATGTTGGGAGTAACGGTCCAGCTTCTGCAGGAGACGCAAAAGACGAAGCAGCCGCACAGTCTTTAAGAGATGCACGAGAGACACCTGGGTAGAAGACAGAGCAGCACAACTTGGCTCATGCATTAAATTCATGCCATGACATTTACTTTAACTTACAGCCATGCTGGAAAGTTCTTGAAGTTAAATATAATCACGATTCAATTCTATGGTCATTAAATTTTTTAAATTGGTGCATCATAGTTTTATGTTCATTTTCTATAGTCATTTTTATGAATTGTTATTCTTCTGTGCTAAGGTTTACTTTCTCCCTACATTAGAGCCAGGTTCTCATCTGTCATTTTTCAAGCTGGTAGAAAGAGAGGTAGTCACATGCTAAGATTTTGTGATTTCTACTTTGTCACTTGGGCATTGCTGGGGTGGAGTTTATTTGATAGGCAGATACCGATGTGGACCATTTTTCATTGGTGAAATGAAACCTAGAACAGAAGTCCAGGAAGGAAATCATCTAAACACATGACACTGACACAGTCTCCTCATTTTCTCTGACCAGAAACAGAATGCTTAAGGGAAGAATGTGGTGCTCCCCTTACATGAGAATAATAGTTATTTGCAAAGACAAGGGACATGAGCTTGGGTGTTCAGATGAGGCAGCTGAGTTATTTTGCTGGTACATTTTAAAAAACAATTTTACTTGCTCCTATAAGAGTCCACAACTGGCTATAAATGTGAATTTTGTTTTATTGATGAATGACAGAAAGATATAATTATTTTAAATGTAAATATGTAATCTGAAACAAAATTCATTACTTTTGGGTGATATTCTGAATTTGTCAATGAGAATTATAAGTCACTTGTAGACAGCTGCATACCTCAAAACACCTTATAAATAGCAATTTCTCTTTTATCAAGTGTGTATGACACCTTCTTAATGTCAATTGGGGGTAAGGGAAAAGTGAAAGGAAAAAAAAGTAGGGGGTGGAGGCCAACTAACATGTATTGAGGTCTTTCTAGATGTCAGACATTTAGCAAAGCGTTTGATAAAATGCTACATTTTTAGGTTGCTCAAAAAATGTAGGACTTGTTAATACTTCATTTTAGTCCTAATTTGATGTTAACTTCCTCAAGGAAGGCACTCCACTGACAAGTGATAAAACTGGGATTCATACCTTTTCCACATCTAGTTCATAATTTTATCTCTCATTCTGCCTTTCATGGTGACATAAACACAGTAAGTTTCAATACACAAACGTGTGAGCTGTATTTAAAACAATTGCCATGAGCAATTAGGGGCAGAGCCAAAGCCAAAGCATATAAGACATTTTTTTGATGGTAGCAATGCATTTTTTTGGTCCTATTTATTTATTTATTTTTAAAATTTTTTATTGTTGGTTGTTCAAAACATTACATAGTTCTTGATATATCATATTTCACACTTTGATTCAAGTGGGTTATGAACTCCCATTTTTACCCCGTATACAGGTTGCAGAATCATATCAGTTACACATCCATTGATTTACATGTTGCCATACTAGTGTCTGTTGTATTCTGCTGCCTTTCCTATCCTCTACTATCCCCCCTTCCCTCCCCTCCCCTCCCCTATTCTGTCTCTACCCCCTCTACTGTCATTCATTTCTCCCCCTTGTATTATTTTTCCCTTTCCCCTCACTTCCTCTTGTATGTAATTTTGTATAACCCTGAGGGTCTCCTTCCATTTCCATGCAATTTCCCTTCTCTCTCCCTTTCCCTCCCACCTCTCATCCCTGTTTAATGTTAATCTTCTTCTCATGCTCTTCGTCCCTACTCTGTTCTTAGTTACTCTCCTTACATCAAAGAAGACATTTGGCATTTGTTTTTTAGGGATTGGCTAGCTTCACTTAGCATAATCTGCTCTAATGCCATCCAGTTCCCTGTAAATTCTATGATTTTGTCATTTTTTAATGCAGAGTAATACTCCATTGTGTATAGATGCCACATTTTTTTTATCCATTCGTCTATTGAAGGGCATCTAGGTTGGTTTCAAAGTCTTGCTATTGTGAATTGTGCTGCTATGAACATCGATGTAGCAGTGTCCCTGTAGCATGCTCTTTTTAGGTCTTTAGGGAATAGACCGAGAAGGGGAATAGCTGGGTCAAATGGTGGTTCCGGTAGCAATGCATTTTGATTGACATCTATGGAGATGCACTAACTGGATATTTTAAAAATATGGAAGACACATTTTTTGGATGGTTATTTTTTTTCTTTTTATAAGTCTTTGCAGTATAACAACATAATTTATAACATTTCTCACAACATGTTTTCTTGGGAAGAAATGTAATACCTTGAGCAAACTTTTCTGTTCAAATAAAAGAATTCACCATAATCTATTAGAAGAGGCTAACAAACGTATGTATCAGGTTTTTAAATGATCATAGGTCCAGACTTGTGGAAAGCAGAAAAGAATCATTGATAAGGAGGATTTATTTTTTCCTCTTTGTCTTTCTTACTGACACAGATGTTGATCTACACTTTCATTCTTCATAAAGCAGTCATGCTAGGTTCACAGGACATGATGATGAAAAAAGCCAAGAAATTAAAGGAATACTAATTGGAAAAGAAGAAGTCAAACTATCACTGTTTGCTGATGGCATGATTCTATATCGAGGAGACCCCAAACAATTCCATCAGAAGACTTCTAGGGCTGATAAAATGAATTTAACAAAGTAGCAGTATACAAGATCAACATCCATAAATCAATAACTTTTCTATAATCTATCAGCAATTCAGCTGAGAAAGAAATCAGTAAAACCATCCCATTTACAATAACTTCAAAAAAAAAAAAAACCCTTGGAATTAATCAAACCAAGGAGGTAAAAGATCTACTAAAGAAGACTGAAGAAAATAATTGAAGAGGGCTTCAGAAAATGGAAAGATCTCCCATGCTCTTGAACAAGTGGAATTAATATGGTCAAAATAGCCATAGTACCAAAAGCAATATACATAGTCAATATAATCCCTATCAAAATACCAATGACATTATTCACAGAACTAGAAAAATCAGTCCATAAATTTATTTGGAAAAATAAGAGGCCCTGAATATTCAAAGCATTCTGAACAAGAAAAACAATGCATTAGGCATCATAATACCTGATTTCAAATTATATTACAGAGCTATAATAGCAAAAATAGCATGGTACTGGCATCAAAATAGATGCAGACCAATGAAATAGAAGACACAGACCCACATTCTTACAAATGGGCCAGATATGAATATTGGAGAAAAGGTAACCTTTTAAACAAATGGTGCTGGTAAAACAGAATATCTATATATTGAAGAATGAATTTAGATCCCTATCTTTCACCCTGCATAAAACTCAAATTAAAATGGATCAAAGACTTAGGAATTAGACCAGAAACCTTGCACCTGCTTGAAGAATAAGTAAGGTCAACACTCCATCACATAGGTGCAGCTACCGACTTCCTTGGCAACATACCTGAAGCTCAAGAAATAAAATCAAGAATCAGTAAGTGGCATGCCATCAAACTGAAAGGGCTCTGTACAGCCAAGGAAATGAATAAGAAAGTGAAGAGAGAGCTTATGGAATGAGAGAAAATGTTTGCCAGCTACGCCTGACAGGGGGTTAATATCCAGAATACAAAAAGAAATAAAAACTCAACCCCAAAATAACAAATAGCCCAAGCAATAAATGGGCAAAAACATGAACAAATTTTCAAAAGAAGAAATACAAATGACCAAAAAATATATATTAAAAAATTTCAACATCTTTAGCAGTCAGGGAAATGTAAATCAAAACAACACTAAAATTTTACCTTACTCCATTCAGAATGGCAAGTTTCAAGAACATGAATAATAAATGCTGGTGGGGATGTGGGAGAAAAGGTACATTGTTGGTGGGACTGCAGGCTAATGCAACCACTTTGGAAAGCAGTATGAAGATCCCTTAAGAAACAAGGAATGGTCCCAGTCTTTAACCCCCTCCCCTCTCCAAGTGGGGTAGGGAGGGAGAGCATGGAAGGAAGATTACCTCTAGAAAGGGAATAGGGGTGGGAGGAAAAGGGAGGGAGAAGGGGAATAATAGCATGGATGGTGGAAGGAGACCTTCATCATTATACAAAATACATGTATGAAGATGTGAATTTGGTGTCAACATACCTTATATACAAACAGAGATATTGTGATATAAAGGTGTATTAAGAATTGTAATGCAAAAAAAATCAGCAAGACAGATCATGTATAATGGCATAATTTGGCGTGAACGTACTTTATATGCAGAGTTATAAAAATTTTGCTGTGAATGGATAATTATGAATGTAATGCATTCTACTATTGTCATGTATGAAAGAAATTTTTTAAAAAGGGAAGTATCAAAAAAAAAAAAAAAAACCAAGGAATGGGACCAGCATATGACCCAGCTATCCCACTCCTTGGTATAATCCAAAATATCTAAAATCAGTATACTATAGTAATAGTATGCTATTATATAGCAACACAATTCACAATAGCCAAATGATGAAAGTAACTCAGGTGCCTGCCAATAAATAAATGGATCAAGAAAATGTGGTACATAGATACACAACGGAGTTTTACTCAGCCATAAAGAACAATGAAATATGGCATTTGCTGGTAATGAATGGAAATGGAGAAAATCATGCTAAGTGAAAATAACCCAAACTCAGAAAATCAAGGATTGAATGTTTTCTTTCATGTGTGGAAATTAGAACCAAAAAAGGGAAAGAAAGCAGTGTGTGGGAGCGATCAGGTTTCATAAAGATATAGGAAAAATCAGTGGAATAGATATAGGAGAATGAAAGGGAGAAAGGAAGGGAGAGGGGAAGAAATATGGAATGAATTTAACAAAATCATATTATATTCACATATAAAGGTACCCAAGGGAATTTCACCTTCATGTATAAGTAGAAGAAAGGAAGTTGAGTAGTATTGAGGAGGAGAAATAGAGGCAGGGCAGAGGGTAGGAAAGTGGGGGATGAAAATCAAAATCAAATTCCTTGCATGTATGATTTGTCAAAACGAACCCAATTAGTCTGTATAATTATAATGCTCTAATAAAAAAGGGAGCTGAGTACAGTGAAAAGCCCAGTGAAAGTGAAGTATTTAACATTCATCAAGATATGAGAATTTGACTTGTAGAAATCCTTTATCCGCGTTAGTTTAAGTAATGTGTATGTTAATTATATAAAAACACATGCTATATATTCTATTCTATAAATTCTTAATAATTTATGAATAATTGCATACCATATACACACATTTAAGATTTTCCTATTTGTTCAGTATCCAAATAAAAATGGAACATGAAAAATCTATTAGTATTCAGTAGCAAAGCAGCAAAATAATTTTAAACAGAATTCTATTAAATAACATTTACTTAACAATTTGCCAGGAGAATTCAGAAAGGTTTTTTTTTTTTTTTAAACATTTTGTGAATTATATACTTCTTTTGCAGCTTTCCAAAAGCCTGTTTTAAGTCATTACACTTTCATTATAGTACACTTATCTAGTCAAATTCAATCTTCAAAAGCACTTTAAAAAGCCCAGATAACAGTTTGATGTAGCACTGATTGATATTAATACACAAGATTTCTCCTGCCAACTTTCCTTTCAGTTATGTTATAAACCTTTTAACCATGTCGACACTCTCAACCCTCCAACTTGGGAAAAAAGAAAGGAGTAAAAACAATATTGTACAGGCAATTTAAAAAGGAAAAAAAAAGTATGCTAAATAGGATTACAGTTTCACATTCATTTTTGAAGTCAATAATGACTATATTTGAAACATCTATCTCTTTGTTTCATTTTGAAAGCTATACCTTTAAATTTTTAATGAAGGATATGTTTTCTATGAAAGACAGTTAACTGACTGGGAGATTTATTTACTTTGAATAATGTTAAAGAAAATTTTTACATGCTGAAGTTGTTAAGCAGAAAACTGCATTTATGATTCAAAATGACCTCCTTAAAAGTCTCTCCATTTATAAAGAAGTGTTTGAAAGTTTTAAGGATATCCATCATCAAATAGTAGAAGTAGCTACTATTGTATGTGGGCATACCTTCTTGTAAGGAGACATAAGGATAAGGGGGTTAGAGGAAGAAAGAGGAAAATTTATGAGTATTAATACAAATTCAAGAAAATTCTCAACTTTTTTGTCAATCATTGTGTCATTCAGGTTTCTACTCCATCCAACATTTTTATAAGAATTTATAAGAAATGACTGAATTAATTTAATTTTTTAATATCAACATTCCTCTCTATATTAATTGGTCTTGCATTGGTTTTGCCAAGGAATAATGAAATCATAGGGAGTTAAAGATCATAAAAGGGGAAAGAATTCTTCAAACTTTCCACCAATTTTTTGGAAGAAAATATCTCTTTAGATAATACAAAGTAATGGTTATATCCCTACAGATGGTTTCCTTATCAAAGGATTTGTTTATTGAGTCCATATTTATGATAATTTTTCAAATAGTCTGGGTTCTGGGTATTTGTATGAATAAAAACAGGTAATACAGATTTCCAAGGAAGTAACTTCCTCAAGTGGAGAATGTAGCCTGCATGGTATTGGGTACCCTGGCAGTTTTATTGAGGGCACAAATCCCGGGAAACACAAATCGCTGTAAACATTTTAAACCTGAACGTGTGAAAAAGTAAGTATAGGGGTGAAAGCAAGCTTAAACGCTGTGTGGAATCAAGCTCTTGACTCACCACTGTGACGTTGAAAGCGTACAGGAGATCGAAGGGCAGGGCAGCAATTAAATCAATGATGAACCAGGTTGTGACGTAGTGGATGCAAATTGATCTTGCTTCGAAAATAACTTGGCCAGATTTGCTGACATAAGTTGTTCGGAAATTTAAAATAATATCTGCTTGGGGAAAAAAAAGACAGAAAGAAAAGAAAGATGGGGAGGGGTGATAAAATAAAATAAAAGGAAGGAGAAAGACAAGGAAAGAAGCAAGGAAGGAGGAAAGGAAGTCAGGCAGGCAACCAGGGAGGAAAAGAGGAAGAAAAAACATATAAAATTAAAATTAAACAATAACCTTTTTAACCTGTTAATTACTAATGTTCAAAACACCCTCCTTGATGGATCCAGTTCAACTCAACAAACATGTTTAAGGAGAGTGAAGAAAGTAATATTTTCTGAGCATTTACTACATTCCAAACTTGGAGTCATGTGGTATGATGATTAAAATAAATGATCAAAGCAATAAGAACAAAGATCATAATTTGCTAAAAACTCACTGTGTAAAGACATTGTTCTAAGAGCTTAGCATGGGGTATTTCACTTAATCCTCAAACATCCCATGTTAAAGAGGCAGAAACTAAGTCCCGCTGAGGAAGAGTCATTCATCCAAGATCATGTAACCAACAAAATAAGAAATTATTTGAACACAGATATAATTTGTGCAATACTACCCAATTCCATGTATTAAAGTTTTACTAATCTCTGTGAGAATATGAAATTCATTCCTGTCCTGAAGGCACTCCTGTTAACAAAATACCAGAAATTTCTTGTTTGGATTTAGAGGTTAAATTTTCCCACTCTTTTAAAAAAATATAAACACTTTATGTAAGCATTTCAACTTTTCCATACAGACTCTTTTATTACTTTATTGAGATTTTTTAGAATACATGAGGTCCTCGTGAGTGCTAGTTAAATGACAAATCCATAACTAAGTGAGTCCTTTGAGCTCCCTCCTGTTGCTTATGAATAAGCATCTCTAAGACTGTCCTCTTACTTCCTGGTTAATATCATTAAGATATTTTCCTTAGTTTGTCTTAAGATCAAGTAAAAGCAGACCTCAGGAAATTTATGTATTGGTACACATGAAAGGATAGTAATTGTTGAGCGTTTTATGGAATGGTGACAATAACAGAAAAAAAATTTCTCCATGGAACTTTATTTTGGGGAGAATACCATGGTTTGTTAGTCAAGGAGCGGAGCAGGATATGTGGGAAATAAATATCTCAGCCAAAGATCACAGGAATTTGAGGAGTTATAAAACCAATACTAAGCTCTGAGCTGCATAATAATCAGATGGATTGGGATAATCTTTACATCTAACTTAAACCACTGAAAATAAGAACAGTGTTGTATGAGATAGAATTTGTTCATATCATGATGATGACAACAGTAAAAATTACTCATGAAAATGCTCATTTTATATTTGTATGTTACTTTTAATTTTCACTTCATGTTCACATTTGTGGAAGGGAGAATTCTGAACAACTGTCAATGACCTGGTCCTCATTTGGTCTCTTCCCCTGTGAACATGATGAGGTATCATTCTGTGATCGGGTTATATTTTGTGACAAACTGGGAAATTATCCTAGGTGAACAGATCAGGCAAGCTCTCTAAAAGAAGGAAGTTTTCTTCATCTGGTGAAAAGATATTGGAAGTCAGTAAGAAGAGAGTGACTGACATATGATGGACAGGACCACATGCAAGGAACAGCAGGGGGCCTCTTATTGCTGAGAGGAATACCAGGCTGACACCTAGTTAGAGATGTGTACCTTAGTACGAATTCTTCCAACAGCCACATGGGGCTGGGAAAAGAATCTAAGGTCTAGGGAAGAAAACATAGACACACACACACACACACACACACACACACACCTCAGATAACATGATGTCAGCCCTTTGAATCCCTGAGCGGAGAATCCAGCTAAGCCATTCCTAGATTTCCTGACATATAGAAACCGTGAGAAAATAAACAGGTGTTGTTTTAAGCTGCTAAATTGGTGGTAATTTGCTATATAGTGGTTAAAAAATAAATAAAATTTCATTATGTCATTTGCTTCTCAGTATAGCTTTGTAAAGGGAGATAATATAGGAATTACAACAAGACACATTCTTAGTATGAGCTGAGTATTGTTCTAAACCATTTATAATCATAATCTCTTTTAACTCTTTTCAATAATACTAAAATGCCAATACTTTTATTACTGTCTTTTCCAGATGAGGAAATTAGGGCATAACAGAGGTCAAGTAATTTGCCCAGTGTCACATAGATGATGATACTGAAACACAGCATTGAATTCCCCAGCTGTCAGTGAAAGAGCAAGATTCAGCTCCAAGTCTCCTGAGTTCCAGTTCAGTGCTTTAGGTTTTGTGGCTTTAACAAAATACAGATACTTCACAGGTCAGGAAGCAAGTTCTGAGTGAAGTAATTTCAAAGTGCTTCATATTCAAATTTGAATTTCCCAAGAATTACTCGAAGGCATAACATGTGATGTATTTTAGAGAAAGTTCCATGTGCTGATGAAAAGACTATTGTGTGTGGAGTGGTGTGATGGAATGTTCTTTAGGTGTCTACTAATTCCTAATCTATAGTCTAATTTTACTCTGATGTTTCTTTGTTAATTTTTGGGGGGAGTCTAGAGGGGGTCAGTGAGAGGGGTCAGTGAGAGTGGGGTATTGATGTTACCCACCATTATTGTATTAGGGCCTATCTCTTCCTTTATGTTCAGTAATGTTTGTTTTATAAAATTTGGTACTCTGATATTTAGTGCCTATTTATTTATAATCATATCTTCTTGATGGATTATTCCATTTATCATTATGTAGTAAGAGTTTATGATGCTTCAGGATGGTTTTGGCTTGAAGTCTGTTTTGTCAGATATGAGCATAATTACTCCAGCTTGCTTTCAGGGTCCATTTACATAGAATATAATTTTCCATCCATTCACTTTCAGTCTGCATATGTCTTTGCTGGTCAGGTAAATTTGTTGCACACAGCATATTGTTGGGTCTTGCTTTTTAATCCAATCAGCCAGTCTTCATCTTTTAAGTTGGAGAATTAAGACCATTTACTTTCAGGGTTATTATTGAAAGGTATGTACTTGTTTTTGTCATTTTGTTGGTTTTCTTAAAATTCTTTTGAACATTCTGTTTGTTGCTTCTTGTCTTACTCATTTTAAATATTTGATTATTTTCTTTATTAATAGTGTCTGAATCCTTCCTGTTTCTCATTTGTGTGTCTACTCCTGTAGTGCGATCATGCTTATTATTATCTTTCTTCCTCTTTTGGTGTAGGATTCCCATAAATATCTTCTCTGATGCCAGCTTAGTAATGCATTCTCTTGGTTTATGCTTCCATTATCATGAAAGATCTTTATTTTTTCAATTCTGAGGGATAATTTTATTGAGTATAGTAATCTCAGTTGGCAGTTATCTTCTTTCAGGACACATGAAATACATCATTCTATGCTCTCCTGGCCTTTAGTTCTGCTGAAAAATCTGCTGTTATTCTGATGGATTTCCTTTAAATATGACTCGGTGCTTCTGTCGTGCAGCTTTTTCCTCTCTTTGTTCTGTACTTTGGGCAATTAACTATAATATGTCATGAAGAGGTTCTCTTCCATTCATGCTATTTGGGGTTTAGAAGACTTTCTTTATATGGATGTCCACATCTTCTCCAAGATTTAGAAAACTTCTTCTTTCATTATTTCACTGAATAGATTTTCTGTGTCTTCAGCATGTAGTTCTTTTTCCTCATGTATTCCAATTAAGCATAATTCTGGTCTTTGACTGGTGACCCAGACATAAATTTGTGTGGTCTGCTCCTTCATATTTTTTCCCTTTATTACTATCTGAATGTTACTCAATCTTGTTTTCAAGTCCAACATACTTTCTTCAACTTGATCTAGTTTAGGAGGCTTTCAGCTGAGTTCTTAATCTGACTTATTGGACTTTTCATTTCCAAGATTCCTGTTTGATTCTTTTCAAAATCTCGTATTCCTTTACTATATTTCTCATTGACAATTGCATTGTGTTCCTTAATTCATTTATGTGCTCATTTGTATCCTCTTGGAATTCATTGAGATTTTAAATAATTTATTCTTTTGAATTCATTGACTTTTCAACCATTTTGATATATTTGGAATTATTTACTAAAGAATTATAAACTTCAGGAGGTGCACATTGCCTTGTTTATTTATTTATTTATTTATTTATTTTTTAATTTTTATTTATTTTTTTATTTTTTTTTTAATTTTTTTTATTGGTTGTTCAAAACATTATAAAGCTCTTGACATATCATATTTCATACATTAGATTCAAGTTGGTTATGAACTCCCAATTTTACCCCAAATACAGATTGCAGAATCACATCGGTTACACATCCACATTTTTACATAATGCCCTATTAGTAACTGTTGTATTCTGCTACCTTTCCTATCCTCTACCATCCCCCCTCCCTCCCCTCCCATCTTCTCTCTCTACCCCATCCACTGTAATTCATATCTCTCCTTGTTTATTTTCCCATTCCCCTCACAACCTCTTATATGTAATTTTGTATAACAATGAGGGTCTCCCTCCATTACCATGCAATTTCCCTTTTCTCTCCCTTTCCATCCCGCCTCATGTATCTGTTTAATGTTAATCTTTTCTTCCTGCTCTTCCTCCCTGCTCTGTTCTTAGTTGCTCTCATTATATCAAAGAAGACATTTGGTATTTGTTTTTTAGGGATTGGCTAGCTTCACTAAGCATAATCTGCTCTAGTGCCATCCATTTCCCTGCAAATTCTATGATTTTGTCATTTTTTAGTGCTGCGTAATACTCCATGGTGTATAAATGCCACATTTTTTTTATCCATTCATCTATTGAAGGGCATCTGGGTTGGTTCCACAGTCTAGCAATTGTGAATTGTGCTGCTATGAACATCGATGTAGCAGTATCCCTGTAGTACGCTCTTTTAAGGTCTTCTGGGAAAAGTCCAAGAAGGGCAATAGCTGGGTCAAATGGTGGTTCCATTCCCAGCTTTCCCAGGAGTCTCCATACTGTTTTCCAGATTGGCCGCACCAGTTTGCAGTCCCACCAGCAATGTACAAGAGTACCCTTTTCCCCACATCCTCTCCAGCAC